ATGGTGAGAATGGGGGGATAGGGTGGAGGGGAATGAAGGGGGGAATAGGACAACTGTAATAGCATAATCAATAAAAAATAAATTAAAAAAAAGATTATACACCATGATCAAGTGGAATTCATCCCAGAGATGTAAGGATGGTACAATATTCACAAATCAATAAATGTAATACACCACATAAACAAAATGAAAGACAAAATCACATAATCACATCAATAGGTGTTCAAAAAGTATTTAATGAAATCAGCACTCATTTATGACAAAAATATTCAGCAAAATGGGAATAGAGGAAGCATACCTCACCATTGTAATGACTTTATATGCGAAATTTATAGCCAACATCATACTCAACAGACAAAAACTAAAAGCTTTCCCCTTAAAATCAGTAACAACACAAGAGTGTCCATTTTCAGCACTTTTATTCAACATAGTAATGGAATTTCTAGCCACAGTGATCCAGCAAGGAAAAGAAATAAAAGGCACTCAAATTGGAAAAGAGGAAGTAAAACTGTCATTAATTACAGATGACTTGATAGTGTACATACAAAACCCAATAGTGACCACCAAAAAAGTACTCGACTTAAAAGGTGAATTTGGCAAAATAGTGGGATACAAAGTCAATATTCAGAAATCAAACTCATTTTTGTGTGCCAACAATGAACTATCAGATACAGAAACTAGGGGGAAAATTCCATTTACTATAGCAACAAGAAAAATAAAGTACCTAGGAATAAGCCAAAGAGATAGAAGACCCATACTCAGAGAACTACAAAACACTGAATAAAGAAATTAAGAAAGACACAAATGAATGGAAGAATATACCGTGTGCATGAGCTGGAGAATTAACATCATCAAAATGTGCACATTACCCAAAGTAATTTATAGATTCAACACAATCTCTATTAAAATACCAATGGCATATTTCACAGATCTAGAACAAATATTTCAAAAAATTTATATGGAACAAAAAATGACCTTGAAGAGCCACAGTAATCTTGAGAAAGAAGAACGAAGAAGGAGGGATCACCCTACCTGATATCAAACTATATTACAAGGCCACTGTAATCAAAACAGACTGGTACTGGCATGGGAACAGACACATAGATCAATGAAACACAACAGAGTCCAGAAATAAACCCATGTCTCTATGGTCAATTAATATTTGACAAAGGAAGCAAGAGCATAGAATGGAGTAAAAATAACCTTTGCAATAAATGGTGTTGAGAGAACTGGATTGGAACTTGCAAAAAAAAATGAAACTAGACCACCAATTTACACATTACACCAGAATAAATTCAAGATGGATAAAAGACTTAAATATTAATCATGACATTATACAAGTCCTAGAGGAAAACATAGGCAGGAAAATTTCAGATGTCACACATAGCTATAGTTTGCTAATATATCTCCTAGGGCAAGGGAAATAAAGGAAAAAATAAACAAATGGGACTACATCAAATTAAGAAGCTTTGAATGGCTAAAGAACCATCATCAAAATGAAAAGGGAATTGACCTTATGGGAAAACACACCTGCCAATGATACACTGGGCAAGGATTTGATCTTCAAAATATATAAAGAACTGATATGACTCCACACCAGTATGACAAACAATCTAATTAAAAAATGGACTAAGGACCTGAACAGACCCTTCTCCAAGAAGTATGTACAAAGGGCCCAGAGACACATGAAAAGATGCTCAGCACCACTAGCCATCAGAGAGATGCAAATTGAAAACCACAGTGAGATACCACTTCACAAAGGTCACAATGGCCATCATTAATAAATCAACAAACAACAAGTGCTAGCAGGGATGTGGAGAAAAGAGACCCCTAGTGCACTGTTGGTGGCAATGCAAACTGGCACAGCCACCATACCAGTTTGGAAAACAGTGTGGAATTTCCTCAAAAAAACTAAAAATGGAACTGTCTTTTGACCCAGTGATTCTCCTGCTGCAATTATACCCTAAGAATCCTGAATCACTAATTCAAAAGAACCTATGCACCCCAATGTCCACAGCAGTGTTATTTACAATAGCCAAGTGCTGGAAACAGCCTAAGTGCCCACCAGTAAATGAGTGGATCATAAAACTGGTATGTTTACACAATGGAATACTATGCAGCAGAATGGATGGAACTGAAGAATACTATGCTAAGTGAAATAAGCCAGGCAGTGAAAGACAAATAACATAGGAACTCATCTATAAGAGGACACTAATGAACAAAACAAACAAAAACAAGCTAAATAGAACCAGAGGCGTAGAAAAAAGAAACAGACTAACAACAACCAGAGGAGATGGTGGAGGGGGATAAGGGTGGAAAGAGGGGAAGGGATAAGTCAAGGAACATGTAGGAATGACCCATGGACATGGGCAACAGGGTGGGATTGACTGTGGGAATGAGGGCAGGGGGGCTTGGCTGAAGAAAACAAAGGGGGAAAAAGTAGGACAACTGTAGTAGAACAACAATAAAACATTTAATAAAAGAAAAAAGGAAAAGAAATTAAATGTCACAAGGTTATGTCCCTTGCCCAAGGTCACATAGCTGGAAAGTTGCAAATCTGAGATAATGTTAGTAAAATCAAAGGGAGAGGTAGGGGGAAAGGGGGAGAAAGAAAGAAGTCCATCCCCAAAAGAGCTACTTCACCTGAAATAGGGTTGAACCTCCTGATGTTGCTAAGAAAGAAGGCAGGCGCACTCTGCTTTCCAATTCCTAAAGATAGTGATGGGATCACCCTGAGAAAAAAGAAAGGAACTTCCCTTTTTCTTTCTCTCTTAAATATTCCCCAGCCTACATCAGCCAGCCAAGCTTCTTGGTTGCAAGATTTATTTTGTTATCTGTTTTCTGGTCCATGTAATTTAGCATGTCATTTTTTATTAGTCTTTTCTTTCTCCTTTGTTCTGAAAAAGTTTTAGGGAAGAGTAAATCTAGCCTCTTTATAATCCTCTGTGAATCTCTCAGACTGTGTTTTCATACTTTGGGATAATAAAATCGGTTGCTATACATTAAGCTGCATTAACACAGCTGTTAGGCAAGCATAGTGTGTATTTGGCTATTTCAGGAAGCTACAGGCTGTCCCAGACCCTGTTATCTGTACAATCCTCTGCAATAATTCCACCATTAGAGACTCATTCTTTTGGCTATTTAAAAGCCATCTATAAAATCTGATGATCCTGGGGGAAGTGACAGAGATCTAATACCCACTAATTCTTAATCTTTTAGTCTGAGCATGTTGCAGGAGGAAGGCAAGCTATGGAACCTTTTCCTAGAAAAATACAGACACATGCAAAATCCTACACAACTCTTGGATCCAGAGAGAGAACATATTTGAATTGTTACCAGCTGATAGCTAAGGCAGTGGGTTGAGAAAAAGGACTATCTCACCATGGCAAGAATTGAGGCCCTGCAGAGAAAAATGCCACTAAGTTTGAGACAGAGGTGGGAGGAAACCAGAGCTTAAGGAACAAGGAGGGCAAGAGAGTGGGGAAGATGAACTTAGTTTGTTAAAAGATAATCCTGGAGTGAGAAGAAGGAAGCAGTTATCAGAATCCAGAGACAGAGTTGCAAGGAAAGGACCATCAGATGGAATTGTGACCTTTAATCAAGAGATGCAGTTGACCTTAATTGAACCTGCAAGGGGGGAACAAAGAAAATAAATATCTTGGCCACATTCCCCCTTCTTTCTAATGTTATTTTTCCCCTTTTACGGATGAGCAAGATAAGGCTCAAAGGGATGACATCAATTGTCCAAGGCCACACAGCTGGGAAATGGAAGAGCTAAGATTTGAACCCAGTTCTTTTTCTTCTCAAGGTAGCCTGGGCCTTTGACTACCCCTCAGGCTAGCCAAAAAGAGCCTAGGATGGATGTGTCCCCTGAAAACTGGATAGCCCTTGATTGCTGAGCTCCAGCCAAGGCCAGTTTGCAAAATTTAGCTAATAGTGCCATAAGATACTGAAGTGTCGTGCTACCAAAGGGACTGCAGAACTAGCTCTTGCAAAGGAAATTGACCAAAGTGGTAATGTACATGAAGAAGAAGGTAGCTGTATTTCTTCCAGGGCAGCTGGCCTCCATGCCAGGCCAGTTGAAGGCCACATCTTGATCTGGCACAGGTTTCTGCAACCCAGGAACAGAACGCAGGAGGTCCATGCCCCAAAACTCCAGCAAGACTCTGGTATCATTAGATTCTTATTTCCTCCCCCAGGGGACTGCAGAAAGGTCAGCTGGGCATAAATGGTGTAGCTAGTGAAAATGGTGCCCACTGCTCAGTCCTGGCTTTTCCTCCCCTGTCTCTATGATCCAAGAACCAAACACAGGAGGCTGCTTGTGTTCCTAGCCCAGCATCCTAGCCAGGGTTGCTGAGCTGTTCATTGCATAGCTTTGAGCCCAGTGGATTTGTTTCCACACAAGAATGTAGTGTCCCACTTCCTGAACAGAATAGCAATGACCAGGTCCCATCACCCATGCTCCCTCCAGGGAAAGCTGGAAGACCAGATATGTGGCTGGCAAACATTCTAGAGTCCGGGACATGGGGCAGGTTCCTCCTCCTCGGTAAGAAGCAGGGGAGGAACACAGCAAAGAAAGGAATGTTTTTTCTCTATTTTCTCTTTTATTCCTTCACCTTCCTCCTTTCATCATTTTCTCCTCCTCGTTTCTTCACTCTCACTCTTTTTTAAATTACTGTTTTTTCTATTACAGCCTACAATTGATATTGTTCTGTAAAAGTTTCAGGTGTACAGCATAGTGATTAGATAATCATGTACTTTACAGAGTGTTCTCCCTAATATTCTAATACCCTCCTGACACGATGCATAGTTACTATAGCATTACTGACTATATTCTCTATGCTGGGCTTTACATACCTATGACTGTTCTGTGACTACCAATGTGTACTGTGTAATCCCTTCATCTTTTTCACCCAGCCCTCTAACAACCTCCCTTCTGTCAACTGTCAGTCTGTTCTCTGTATCTCTGCATTCTATTTTGTTTATTTTGTTCTTTTTTTCTTTGTCCCAGTACTTGAGGATGGAACCAGTGGACAAGAAACCATCTGCACCAAAGACATGACACTGAGGGGTCAGGAGCCCCTTCCCTCTGCCTCTGTACATTCCAGGAACCGGGACTTCACACCCAACACCCTCCAAGAAAAGAAGGATTGTTTATTTTATTCTTAAGATTCTACATATATCTATCCATAAGTGAAATCATATGGTATTTGTCTTTCTCCATCTGGCTTAGTTCACTTAACATAATACCCTCTAGGTCCATTCATGCTGCCACAAAAGGTAAGATTTATTTATTTTTTTTACAGCGCAGTAGTATCCCACTGTGTGTATGTACCATAGCTTTTTTATCCACTCACCTATTGATGGGCACTTCAGTTGCTTCTCTCTCTTGGCTATTGTACATAATGTTGCAATAAACATGGGGGTGCATATATTCCTTTCAATTAGTGTTTTGGGGGGGCTTTGACATATGGTATTCCCAGCAGTGGAATCATTGGGTCATAGGCAGTTCCATTTTTAATTTTTTGAGGTATGTCCATACTGCTTTCCACAGTAGCTACACCAGTCTGTGTTCCCTCCCACAGTGAAGTAGGGTTCCCTTTTCTCCATATCCTTGCCAACACTTGTTGTTTGTTGGTTTATTGTTAATAGCCATTATGACAAGTGTGAAGTGGTATCTCATTGTAGTTTTGATTTGCATTTCTCTGATGATTAGTGACACTGAGCATTTTTCCATATGTCTGTTGGCCATGTGTATGTCTTCCTTGGAGAACTGTCTATTCTGGTCTTCTGCCCACCTTTTCATTGAGTTACTTATTCTCTTTCGTCCCCCTTTGTAGGTCATTCTCTCCCTTGCTTCTCTCTTCTTTGTGTATACATACACACACACACCATCTTCATAACCCAGGATGAGGCATCAACCAGGCCATCATGCTACAGAGTAGAGATGATGACCAGCAGGTTCCTTAGAGCTTGAGCCCAAGCAGGTTGCCATGGGCCTCCATAGGCATCAGCGTCCTCCATTCCTGAGGACACCTCTGTCAAGCACCAGAAGAAAAGCTTTGGAGAGATAGGCACGCTCCTCTCCCAGTCCCCTCTGTCCCCTCTTGCCCACCTCTGCCCTTCAGCTATTCTGGAGGCCTGGATGAAGGGGAGAACTTGTAGGCCACACTCAGAAGGCAGTGGCTGGGATCCTCCACAGAGACTGTGGACATGGCATTGGAGGTGAGGGACCACAGAGCCAAGAAGTCAAAACTTCCCTGGCCTCTGCCTGGTGACTGAGATCTCACTCTCCCTGGCTCTCTTTCAAGACCTGGAGATATGGCCAGGGACTGATATCCTCCAGAGGGCTGCAGATGAAAAACTTACATGTGGAGGAATTACACAGCACCCCTGTGGTCTTACAGTTAACTTGTGGAAGGTAGGAATTATCAGATCACTCTCTTCCACCAAGCCCACCATTGCCAGCCACACCCGCCATCCCTCCTCCTCCTTCCACTCTGCCGCAGAACTGAGCCTTCTCTGCTTTCTGTGTTTTGTTGGGAACACAAAGGTGAGGAATGAGCTGTTGGTCCCATGCAGCCATCTCTCAGATGTGTTCTTGAAGGGCTGGCTTCTCTTCTAGGACAATTTGCTGTGGCATGAAAAAAAGATGTCCTTGGGGAGACACCTATGGAAAATGAAAGAGAAAACCCACAGATCTGAGTCAGTCCAGAAATCACCACTGGTATCTACCCATCTAAACACATTAGGGGAGAAGAACTTAGGAAAATAGTGCCATACAATTGTTTGTCTCCTTCTGGCAGTCCTAATAGACTTCACAGGACACATCTAAATGTCCAGAAGAGCCACCCTCTCCAAGTGTGTGTCATCACAGGAAGGCAGCTCGTGACAGGTGGGATGAGAGGGGAAGCTGCTGTCATATGGAGAGAATCTATCTCCATGCCCTGTAATATTAGAACAGTATGAAACCACACACTAACAGCACCTGGTAAATATCACTATGCCCATTTCACCGATGAAGAAACTGACACCAGGAAGTGAGGTGGCTGCCCCAGGTCATATAGCTCATTAGTGGATTCAAAATCAGGTCTCCCCAACTCTGAAAACACAGGGCTGGCCTCCACCCAGCTGAGGGCTGCCCACCGACTTCCTTTCAAAGCCTGCATTGAGCAATGCCACTGGAGGCCTGGAGATTTACCTCAAAGCTGGGAGATTTATGCAGCTTATTTCCATTAGGACTAATGGAAGGCAGAAAGAGCCATTTTTCTTATAATTAGAAGAGAATTCAACCTTTAAAGCCAACAATAATATTTCAGCTTACGTAACCAAAAAAAAGAGAAAAGCAAATGCATATAATTAGGGAAGAGAAATAACTATTCAGATTACTGGCTGCAGAAGGGATGGGGTGCAGATTTAACACAATTCCAGATGGGAATAGTTTTTCTGCTGCCAGACAGGGCAGCTTTCAAACCCCTGTCATCGGCAAAGCCACCGCTTGTGGAGGATCTGTGGTGTGCCAGCACTGCCTGGCATTTGAAGCACCTCCTCATAACCGCAGGGAAACAGGCTATGATCATGCCCATCTCCGAGATGAAGAACTGAAGTTCAGAGAAACGACGTGCCTTGCCAATCATCGCAAAACGCATTCCATCCTTCTGCACAAATTCAGCAGGCACCTACTTACTGCCTGCCAGGCCCATACCAGGAATACACAGGTACTCAGCAGAGCAGATACAATCCAGGATCCAAAACTGCACCTGTCTCACACCAAAGCCACTCCCCTTCAGGGTAGAAACTCTTTTGATATTTGTTGAATGAACAAATTCCTTCAAAGGTTTCCTTCCACAACTATTTCTTTATTGTTGGCTAGAGTTCCCGGCCAAGGGGAGCCAGATGAAACACCACAAGCATCTCAGGACTCAGGGCCCATCAGCTCTCATGCCCCAGGGACTGGCTGCTTCCGCGAGAGCCTGGCCTCGTTCTGGTCCCACAGCCCCAGTCAGCATCCCCCAGAGTGGCCTGTGTGAGATTGCCTGCGAAAGGTGATAGCTAATAAAGTAATGATTTTTTTAGAAGCCAAATATTGTAGGTTTTGCAGCAACCAATAGCCATGTAGAGGGAGTGAAAAAAGAGCACGGTGAACATCCAGCCTCTTAGGCATGTCCCCCAGGCCCTGCCAACCCTCTGCTTTTCCCTCTGCAGCTGAGGTCCTAGGCACAGAAAATGGAGCAAGAGGCTGAAAGGGAAATGGCATGTGTGGGTGGGGGCCATGTGCCTCCTGAAGCCTTTACACAGTCCCAGAGTGGGGTTCACCTCTGTCTCCTAGATGAGGAAGCCATGTGCAAAGGGGCAGGCCCCTGCCAGCGTCACTCAGCCACTGAAAGACAAAACTGGGACTTTCATTTGCATAGCTGTATAACCAGGACAGTTTATGTTACACTAACAGCAAACTGAGAGCTTAAGAAAGCATGTCTTGTCATTGAGACTTTCTAAGGAAGGCCGGCAGCAAGGCCAAATCTAAGCCCCAAAGGCAATGCAGGGAGAATAGAAACCTGGAGGAGTCAGGAAGAAGGGCCTCACGCTCTCATGCAACAAAGGTCTTATTGACTGCCCATTATATGGTAGGCACAAGAATTTGTAAGATTTGTACTAGGAAAAGAGGAAGAATACATCGTTCCTACCTTTCTGGATCTTATGGCATGGTAGGGGACACATGTTAATCAAAAGATCTCACAGATGAATTTAAAATTGCAACCACTGCAGGACTTTAAAAGAAAAGTTACAGCAACTAGGAGAACAGGTAACAAGGGAATATGACCTTGTCGGGGAAGGCTTACTGGAAAAAGTGATACTTGAAATAAGACCTCAAAAATGAGGAGGAGTTAACTGGGCCAGAGACCATTTGGCACAAAGAATGTTGCAGGCACAAAGAATGTTGCAGGCACAAAGGTACTGAAGCAGGACGAGCACATGGAAAGGGTGATGATGTGCAAAAAGACCAGTGTAACCCTAGCTTGTGTGACTATGTGGATTGAGCACCGGCCTGTGAACTAAAAGGTCACTGGTTCAATTCCCAGTCAGGGCACACATCTGGATTGCTGACTAGGTCTCCACTTAAGAGGCAACCAATCAATGTTTCTTTCTCACCCTTCCCCTCCCTCTAAAAATAAATATAATATATTTTTTAAAAGGCCAGTGTAGCTGGAGTGCAAAGAGCAAGGAGGAAGCTGGGCATAGCATGAGGCTGGAGAGGAGGACAAGTGCCAGACCAAAAAGGTCCATGCAGGTCCTTTCAAGTAATTTTGTCTTTATGCCAAGAGAAAAGGGAGGCCAGTGAAACATTTGAATCAGGGAGTGAGGTGGAGATTTACATGATCAAATATTGGTCTGTTGGGTTGAGAATGAACCTGGTTACTTGGAGGAGAGATAAGAGAGGGACAGGGGGGAAATGACCGCAGAAGCTGCAGGAGCCTTGTACTGTACCACCCTCTCTGGACCCATCAGATTTCGGCCAGGCTGTGAGGGGTGAACTTCACACCTCAGGGAGCATGCGGATGTCATTCTGCTTTCTGCCCAAGGGGAGACACACATTGTGGAGATGAGGTAGAGCCAACACACCTGGGGCAACCCTCAACCAATGGGAGATGGGAATTGAGGGGAGATGGCCCCTGCCTTCCACTCTTTGGCGAGTCAATTCTAAGGTGCGTACTACACAGTTCCTCCAAGAACCCCACCAAGACCAAGCTTTAATGCTCATTGCATTCAACCAGCTCAAAACACCCACCCACTCTGTGGTCTTTTCTCCCTTTCCTATCTCACTCTCCCAGTGTTCTCACTGCTGCTTCTTGGAACCACTTCCCAAATAATCTACCTGTGCCCTACCTGTATTGTGTAACCTACACCTGATTAAGCCTCACCCTGGGAAATATCCAAACCAAGCCATTCTGTGGTGATAGAACAGGAAAAAACAAGGAGGGGCATGGAGTGGAGTGACAATAGGGGTTCACTGATACTATTTACTTGCTCACTCACATGCTAACTCATCCGTTCATTAGCTCACCTGATCACTCATTCCTTCATTCATTCCCTCACACAGTCATCTCGCCCCCATTTCTCCAGTGATTACAGAACCTATGGAAGGATTAA